TTAGTTTTTTCCAGGACTTGTGGAATAAAATCAACACAACTGGTTTGGAATGTTCTGTTTGCTTCCATAAGGTTTCAACACTTTTTCTTCTTGTGTAGTATGTATTTCATTGTCCTCTCAGAAATACAAATAATGTGTTATTGTAACTTATGATTGAACGAAGTGCCAGCCATGAATACCGAGATGAAATGGAAATAAACATGATTTCAATGACTTCCTAATCACTCAGAATTGTTTTTAGATAATGACATTTCACAAACAGTTGGCTGGTAACTACATTAAATGGTTTATAAGAGTTTGCTATGATCCTTTGGGAGATAATGATGACTATGTAGGATTTAAGGCTGTGCTTATGATCAATGGTATTTCTCCTGTGATTATGGATTTAAAATCTGGATAGTTCTACAGGAAGGTTTAAGTTAATGCCAGCTGTCGCATGCTGCCATGGTAGAACTCGGTGATTGGGAAAATGTTGAGCAGCTAAAGGTATTGTGAACAATTATAATGATAGAGATGGATGACTTTTTATCAGCATCCATGAACTCCTGGCTTCCACATGCTTGCATCAACATGCATCACACTTGCAAACACAGCCAGTGCTTTTGTGAAATTTGTCTTGGAAATTGATTTCATTGCATGAAGTTTGATGTTTTTTTTGTGGAGATAAGTTGAATTTTGATAAATTTGATGGTTTGTACTAGTGAACAATTTTGATAAATGCATTTTTTGAAGAACGTCCCCAAGGATATGGAAACACTGTCATTTTCCAAAGTCTGTTTTTTCTCATAGTTATCATGCAAAAACCATATTACTCACATCCAGCCTGTGCTACTATTAAAGAGGTCGATTGGGTGGGAGGGAGGTGGATTTACACTTTATAACTCTATATGTTTGTCCTGGTTTTAAGTCTTGACTCTCTGTATGTTTGTCCTTGTAAAGATCTGGACGGTTTTCCTTGTATAAGTCTTGACTCAAGAAATTCCTCAATTCCACTATATATATGTACTTTACTCTTGTTACATTTTTGCCGTGTATTTTAAATATCAATATCTAAATATAAAGATGAGAATTTTCTACACTGTCATCAGCCATCTCCTGTGTGTTGTGACAAACTGTCATCAGCCATCTCCTGTGTGTTGTGACAAACTGTCATCAGCCATCTCCTGTGTGTTGTGACAAACTGTCATCAGCCATCTCCTGTGTGTTGTGACAAACTGTCATCAGCCATCTCCTGTGTGTTGTGACAAACTGTCATCAGCCATCTCCTGTGTGTTGTGACAAACTGTCATCAGCCATCTCCTGTCTGTTGTGCTGTTGTGACAAATTGTCATCAGCCATTTCCTGTCAGTTGTGACAAATTGTCATTAGCCATCTCTTGTCTGTTGTGACAAATTGTCATCAGCCATCTCCTGTGTGTTGTGACAAACTGTCATCAGCCATCTCCTGTCTGTTGTGACAAATTGTCATCGGCCATCTCTTGTCTGTTGTGACAAATTGTCATCAGCCATTTCCTGTCTGTTGTGACAAATTGTCATCAGCCATTTCCTGTCAGTTGTGACAAATTGTCATTAGCCATCTCTTGTCTGTTGTAACAAATTGTCATCAGCCATCTCCTGTCTGTTGTGACAAATTGTCATCGGCCATCTCTTGTCTGTTGTGACAAATTGTCATCAGCCATTTCCTGTCTGTTGTGACAAATTGTCATCAGCCATTTCCTGTCAGTTGTGACAAATTGTCATTAGCCATCTCTTGTCTGTTGTAACAAATTGTCATCAGCCATTTCCTGTCAGTTGTGACAAATTGTCATCAGCCATCTCTTGTCTGTTGTGACAAATTGTCATTAGCCATTTCCTGTCTGTTGTGACAAATTGTCATCAGCCATTTCCTGTCTGTTGTGACAAATTGTCATCAGCCATTTCCTGTCAGTTGTGACAAATTGTCATTAGCCATCTCTTGTCTGTTGTGACAAATTGTCATTAGCCATTTCCTGTCTGTTGTGACAAATTGTCATTAGCCATTTCCTGTCTGTTGTGACAAATTGTCATCAGTCCTCTCCTGTCTGTTGTGACAAATTGTCCTCAGCCATCTCCTGTCTGTTGTGACAAATTGTCCTCAGCCATCTCTTGTCTGTTGTGACAAATTGTCATTAGACATTTCCTGTCTGTTGTGACAAATTGTCATCAGTCCTCTCCTGTCTGTTGTGACAAATTGTCCTCAGCCATCTCCTGTCTGTTGTGACAAATTGTCATAAGCCATCTCCTGTCAGTTTTGTTAAATTGTCCTCAGCCATTTCTTGTCAGTTGTGACAAATTGTCCTCAGCCATCTCCTGTCTGTTGTGACAAATTGTCATCAGTCATCTCCTGTCTGTTGTGACAAATTGTCCTCAGCCATCTCCTGTCTGTTGTGACAAATTGTCATAAGCCATCTCCTGTCAGTTGTGACAAATTGTCCTCAGCCATTTCTTGTCAGTTGTGACAAATTGTCATCAGCCATCTCCTGTCAGTTGTGACAAATTGTCCTCAGCCATTTCTTGTCAGTTGTGACAAATTGTCATCAGCCATCTCCTGTCTGTTGTGACAAATTGGCATCAGCCATCTCCTGTCTGTTGTGACAAATTGTCCTCAGCCATCTCCAGTCTGATGTGACAAATTGTCATCAGCCATCTCCTGTCAGTTTTGACAAATTGTCATCAGCCATCTCCAGTCTGATGTGACAAATTGTCATCAGCCATCTCCTGTCAGTTTTGACAAATTGTCATCAGCCATCTCCTGTCTGTTGTGACAAATTATCATCAGCCATTTCCTGTCAGTTGTGACAAATTGTCCTCAGCCATCTCCTGTCAGTTGTGACAAATTGTCATCAGCCATCTCCTGTCAGTTGTGACAAATTGTCCTCAGCCATCTCCTGTCAGTTGTGACAAATTGTCATCAGCCATCTCCTGTCTGTTGTGACAAATTGTCATCAGCCATCTCCTGTCTGTTGTGACAAATTGTCCTCAGCCATTTCTTGTCTGTTGTGACAAATTGTCATCAGCCATTTCTTGTGTGTTGTGACAAATTGTCATCAGCCATTTCTTGTCTGTTGTGACAAATTGTCATCAGTCATTTCTTTTGTGTTGTGACAAATTGGCATCAGCCATTTCTTGTGTGTTGTGACAAATTGTCATCAGCCATTTCTTCTGTGTTGTGACAAATTGTCATCAGCCATTTCTTGTCTGTTGTGACAAATTGTCATCAGCCATTTCTTGTGTGTTGTGACAAATTGTCATCAGCCATTTCTTGTCTGTTGTGACAAATTGTCATCAGTCATTTCTTGTGTGTTGTGACAAATTGTCATCAGCCATTTCTTGTGTGTTGTGACAAATTGTCATCAGCCATTTCTTGTGTGTTGTGACAAATTGTCATCAGCCATTTCTTGTGTGTTGTGACAAATTGTCATCAGCCATTTCTTGTCTGTTGTGACAAATTGTCATCTGCAATCTCTTGTCTGTTGTGACAAATTGTCCTCAGCTATATCTTGTGTGTTGTGACAAATTGTCATCAGCCATTTCTTGTCTGTTGTGACAAATTGTCATCAGCCATTTCTTGTGTGTTGTGACAAATTGTCATCAGCCATTTCTTGTGTGTTGTGACAAATTGATATCAGCCATTTCTTGTCATTTGTCACAAATTGTCATCAGCAATCTCCTGTCTGTTGTGACAAATTGTCATCAGCCATCTCCTGTCAGTTGTGACAAATTGTCATCAGCCATTTCTTGTGTGTTGTGACAAATTGTCATCAGCCATTTCTTGTCTGTTGTGACAAATTGTCATCAGCCATTTCTTGTGTGTTGTGACAAATTGTCATCAGCCATTTCTTGTGTGTTGTGACAAATTGATATCAGCCATTTCTTGTCATTTGTCACAAATTGTCATCAGCAATCTCCTGTGTTTTGTGACAAATTGTCCTCAGCCATCTCCTGTGTGTTGTGACAAATTGTCATCAGCCATTTCTTGTGTGTTGTGACAAATTGTCATCAGCCATTTCTTGTCTGTTGTGACAAATTGTCATCAGCCATTTCTTGTGTGTTGTGACAAATTGTCATCAGCCATTTCTTGTGTGTTGTGACGAATTGATATCAGCCATTTCTTGTCATGTTGTCACAAATTGTCATCAGCAATCTCCTGTTGTCATCAGCCATTTCTTGTGTGTTGTGACAAATTGCCATTGTCATCAGCAATCTCTTGTCTGTTGTGACAAATTGTCCTCAGCTATATCTTGTGTGTTGTGACAAATTGTCATCAGCCATTTCTTGTGTGTTGTGACAAATTGTCATCAGCCATTTCTTGTGTGTTGTGACAAATTGTCATCTGCAATCTCCTGTCAGTTGTGACAAATTGTCATCAGCCATTTCTTGTGTGTTGTGACAAATTGTCATCAGCCATTTCTTGTCTGTTGTGACAAATTGTCATCAGCCATTTCTTGTGTGTTGTGACAAATTGTCATCAGCCATTTCTTGTGTGTTGTGACAAATTGATATCAGCCATTTCTTGTCATTTGTCACAAATTGTCATCAGCAATCTCCTGTCTGTTGTGACAAATTGTCATCAGCCATCTCCTGTCAGTTGTGACAAATTGTCATCAGCAATCTCTTGTCTGTTGTGACAAATTGTCCTCAGCTATATCTTGTGTGTTGTGACAAATTGTCATCAGCCATTTCTTGTGTGTTGTGACAAATTGTCATCAGCCATTTCTTGTCTGTTGTGAGAAATTGTCCTCAGCTATATCTTGTGTGTTGTGACAAATTGTCATCAGCTATATCTTGTCAGTTGTGACAAATACATCATGATATTGCTATTGAAGGCATCAAAGAATAATGTAAAATGTCCTATAGATTCCCTAACAGTATTAAAGGCACAATGATAAATAACATAAGGTAATATTGTCATGTACTATTTACCATGATATCATAATGCTTAGAATGATACTACAAATTCAAAATATTTTTCACTGTTTACAGGAAATCTGACAGTGTGGTGTTTCCAGCTTCCATACCAAAGACTCTTCCCAACCTGATAAAGTTTGTGCTTCACCACTCAACTCATGACCTACGTCTGGACACAGCAGCGGACATCTGCTCTGACTTGTGTATTAAACACAATCGAGTGGTTGTAGCAGTAACAGTAGAGACTTTGAGATCACAGAGTCATCAGTACGCAAAGAGACTGCACAGACTCATGTCACATCTGGCCTCACTCAACAACGCTCCCAAGCATCACCCAGACACAACATCTGAATACTTACCAGGAAAATCTTCCATTGACAATTCTGTTCCAGGTCTTCCTGATGACCAACTTATGTTGCAAAGAAGACGCAAAATTCATTCATCTATAGCATATGTACAAAAACAGATACGCAAAACAGAGAAGAGGGTCAGAGATGCTGAATATCTAAATAAATATTTATTAAGTCATAAAAATTTTTTATCTGGAAAAGAAGAATTATTTGAATATTTTTCCCCCCATGTTAAAGATAAAAAGTCAAAAAGCTAGCATCAGGAAACATTGTTGCCATTTTATACTAATTGTGGTCAAAAACCTATGTCTACATTATTTATTTTTATAACATATACTTTTCATATACATCTAAAGATGAAGCTTATGGTCAAAACTTGATTTGCCAACACTTTTTAGTCCTGTATAATTGTTTATTTTCATGAACTTTGCAGTAGTTGTATTGAGTTCTTTATATGCACATGTACAGGGTTTCTTCCATACACTAATCACTATGTCACCAAGCACAATGTCATTGAATTCATCATCCTATTTTTGCCAAGCTACATTTTAACCATTACCAATGATGTAAGGTTGTAATAGAAACATGCAAAATCAGGAAGGTAAGTAGAACATCTGTGATTTAGTTAACAGGTGATTACAGGTAATTATTTATACCTGAAAGATGATCTCCACAGATTATTGATTACAGGTGTAGACTTTAATCTGTGTAGATTGTAAGGTTGCTGGTTTAATGTTACTATAGAGGTTGTATCTCATCCGAATATTAAAAACCAAGTCAGATCAACTCAGCATTCCATCCAAACTGCAGAAATTATCCTATTAGTGTAGCAAAGTTCTACAGAAACTATACTTCAGTATTTTCAGATAAAGATGGGTGTAAACATAGGAACATTAGTTACTAGAGGCCCCATATGAAACCATTTATAACCTGATGGTTGTGAAGTGATAAGGGTCATTCGAAATTTGATGCCAAGGTCACTATGCAAGGCCAATAAAGAAATGTGCCAAAGGTCAGCATACAAGATGATACTGAATTATCATACCAAAGATTCAGAAAAAGGCAATATGATCCCAGATATAAGTTAAAAGTGTCATTATTGTTTTCTTTCAAGAAGATCTTATCTCTAATGTACCAAAGATCAGCCCCTCATGTTGATTCACTGATGTAAAACAAACTAGTAAGCACTGATGTAGTTCTGATTGGATCGTGTGCTAAAATCTAGAAAACTTTCATTTAATGAAAGATATCCAAACTTATATCACAATTAGGAAACAAGAACTGTCTGGACTTAAATAGAATACAGCCAGTACTGATTTACAGTTTAACATTTTTCCTTCACCATAGAAATACTGTAATATAGTAATGTAGTAGTTCTATCATTCCTCAATAAGTCGGTCTCTGGTCATTTACCCCTTGATAGTTAGAAATAAATTTTATTTGAAGTTGTGAAATGAAAAGATGCAGGGTAAGACGATACTGGAAAATTTCCAGGAATTAATTGTTTCCACTCAAGTTCTTGGTGCTGGATGGAATTACTGAACTGAAATTTGTCTTGTGTCTAAAGTGGCAAGAGAAGATACAAGAAATTATTCCAGTTGTCTTATTTTTGATGGTTGTCATCGGTTTTTTGGCCAGGGGTAATTGTATCAAATCAACACTTTTATGTGTAAGTATGACAACAGTTTACATAATTGATACTTGATTGGACAATTACCAAGGCATGTCATGTTTCTTGGTATTTTGTGTAAGCTACTTACCACAACATGTCATGTTTCTTGGTATTTTGTGTTAGCTACTTACCACAACATGTCATGTCTTTTGATACTTTGTGTTAGCTACTTACCACAGTGTGTCATGTTTCTTGGTATTTTGCCTAAGCTACTTACCACAACATGTCATGTTTCTTGGTATTGTGTGATAGCTACTTACCACAACACACCACGTTTCTTGGTATTTTGTGTTAGCTAATTCCATCCTAAACAAATTATACTAAAATTCTGAACATTAAAACTGAGGGATACTTGGGCTTTGTATAAACCCCTCATGGAAGGTATTAGGAAAATCAATTAAACTCATCACAGATACGATAACATGGAAATGAAATAGATTTTGTGTTTAGAATTAGTTTGATATCTCAGAATATCAGTTTTGTAATAACTTCAATTATTCCTGGAACAATAAAAGTCATGGATACCATTAATACAGATAGGATTTATAGTGATGCATGGTTCAGATATCAACCTGTTGTCACTGGAAAATGTGGTTAGGAGGAGTTGGCAGCGGCAACATCGAAATGTTTTGCAATCATTTAAATGATACTTCTCCTGTAGAAAGCATTCTCTTATTCATACCTATGGGGCTTTCTGTCTGCTTTACAGTTTTATTTTATAATGGTTTAAAATGTGGTAATTTGTAACATTCCAAAGTCAACACCTTTTTTAAGTGTAGCTATTGTATTTGTTCAATATACCTCAGCCATGCAATACAATGGAATTAATGGTTTCTGGAGTGAAACTCCTTTGTGTTCTCATCAGCACACATTTTATAGGATAAGTAAATTAATCCTGATGATGTTTTAAAGTGTGTTGATAACCTTACAGAGGAGGCAATCAATTGAGGTTTTTGTGTATAACCCTGTGAAATAGGAGTAATGAAAAACGCCTTGCCACCACTGGGATTTGAACAAGTGACTGTTTGGTCTTTAGAAAAAGCACTATGCCACTTGACTGAAGGGAGAGTGCTTGACTAGAAAGGGGCATTAACTCTCCTTTTACACTACTGCCTGCTTCTTTATATTGAAGATACGCAGGTTCTTTAGCTCAAAAGGTAGCATCTCATTCTCCTAAACATTCTATCATTGGACATGCCAACAACACCAAAGTAATAGGAAGCAGAAATGAAAATATTTTGTCTGTGATGAAGTTCAAACTTGCAACCCTTCAGTCTTTAGTCAGACATGCTATGGTTATTCCTACAAGGTGAGGGTGGTAAGGGGACATAGTCAGACATGCTATGGTTTGAGTAAAGGGTTATTACCACAAGGTGAGGGTGGTAAGGGGACATAGTCAGACATGCTATGGTTTGAGTAAAGGGTTATTCCAACTAGGTGAGGGTGATAAGGCGACATGGTCAGACATGCTATGGTTTGAGTAAAGGGTTATTACCACAAGGTGAGGGTGGTAAGGGGACATAGTCAGACATCCTATGGTTTGAGTAAAGGGTTATTAGCCCACCATCATCAGATGGTGGGGTATTCAAATCGCCCTGCATCCGTGGTCTGTCGTCCGTCCGTCCGTCCGTCCATCCATAAACAATTCTTGTTACCGCTATTTCTTGGAAAGTGCTGGATGGATCTTTCTCAAATTTTATATGCAGTTTCCCCTTGGTCCCTAGTTGTGCACTGTACTTTTTTTGGACTGATTTGAATTCAAGATGGCCAACAGGCAGCCATCTTGGATTTTGGAAGTAAAAGTTTGTTACCGCTATTTCTGGGAAAGTACTGCATGGATCTGTCTCAAATTTCATATGCAGGTTCCCCTTGGTCCCTAGTTGTGCATTGTACCTTTTTTGGACTGATTCGAATTCAAGATGGCTGAGAGACAGCCATCTTGGATTTTGGAAGTAAAAGTTTGTTATCGCTATTTCTTGGAAGGTACTGGATGGATCTTTCTCAAATTTCATATACAGGTTCCCCTTGGTCCCTAGTTGTGCATTGTATTTTTTTTGGACTGATTTGAAATCAAGTACGCCCACGTGCAGCCATCTTGAATGTCGACAGTAATACAGCACAAACATATTTTCTGCAATATTCTATCATATTGATTCAAGACTATGTCCATTATCCACCTGTAACTGACTGCTATCTAATAATACTTTGGGATCTTTTTCAAATGATATTTGCTAATAGGTGCTTAATAAAAATATCTTGTGCCATCATTGAGTACATTCAATGAAGACCAGTTCATGAACATTCACAAAACCTGTAACACAAAAAAAAAATAAACAAATCTTCAAAGAACTGAAAACAGATCCTCAATTGGTGGGTGCCAAGATCCCTCTGGGATCTCTTGTTCCTACTAGGTGGGACTGGTAAGGTGATCCTAACTTTCCCTACGTATCTTTACTGTAAGTTGACTTCAGCAGGAGTTCATCTGTTCCACCAGGCCCCACTTGTATAAAACATCTCAACTTGAAATTTCCTCAAGCCCAGATTTTCCTCAGCTAATATCTCCTTGAAAATATCTTGTATGAAAATTCCTCAAGGAATTTCAGGACATCCTAGCCGATGCCTTCCTCCTGTTCCTTGAGAAAATTTTATACAAGCCGTTTTTGAGGAGATATCAGCTGAGGAAAATTTCGACTTGAGGAAATTTCAAGTTGACATGTTTTATGCAAGTGGGGCCAGGTTGTTACTTCTGATGAATATATTTACAATAACATTGTGTGTATTGCCTTCACTCAAATTTTTTTTTTACACTTCAAATTTCATTAAAAAGAAATAATTGTTGCTACAAATTTGTGTGTGTGTTTACAGCATTTACTGTAAATTGTTCCACTTTAACACTGGACTCTTCATCTTGTTTCTTTGTTGAAAAAATTGATGAGGATGGCCCCAGCAGTTACACTGTAACAGAGTTTTGTCACTTGTATTACAAAGACTGTTTTGAATGCTGTTTTATCTGAGGAAGGCTTCACTTCCACTGTTTGATCTGTAACTTATCCCTGACTGTTCAGTCATAATCCTACAAATGTAACCGATGGCCAACAATACTGCCTCTGTAGAAAATGATGTTTTTTTGTTTCTAGAAGCTGTTTAATGATACATGTACAACATACACATTTCTTAGAGAAACAATCCAAATTTTCTATGGTAGATAATGGACATGCCAGACAAAAATTAGTGTTTGAGAGCAATCTTTTATTTATTTTCAAAATTTATGTTTTTGTGTTTTTTCTGCTAAGTGTTCTTTTCTATCCAGAAACCACATGTTGTTGAGTATAGGGTATACAAGTCTATATAACCCTGTATAACTCTATCTCTATAACTTATCAGTGGTCAAATATTATTGGTATATATATCAACCTGCAACATTTCTTCACTGTCATTTTATATTTCCTTATTATCTCCCTGAAGGGAGAGCATATAGCCACCACTTTGTCTGTCCATCTGTCCGTCTGATTGTCCCCCATAATTTTGTGGGGAGCATATCACAAAATCTATAAGAGGTATGTACATGAAACTTGATAGGAAGAT